TCCCCCCTCCCCCCTCCCCCCTCGCCATTCCCATCCGGTTCACCACACAAAAAGCATAAGGATGATGGTTCACGAGAGGCTAACGGACGACATGGAACACTAAAGACCGCCTGCCGCGCGACCTGAACGTCAAGCTGCGTGTTAACCGGCGGGACCCAAGCCTGCCCGACAACCACGGGCAGATCTGGATGCAGCTCGCGTCCATCGCCTTCACAGGAGGGCGAGAGGACGAGGGCTTGGGCGGGGAGGACGCCGCCCCGCACGTCATTGAGGCACTCCGCCTCGGCGGCGACAAGCACTTCCCAACGCGGAGGCTCATCACGTTATGGAACCACCGGAGGTGGCGGCCCACCACGACGCAGTGGTGCCGCACGAGGTTAGGGCTGGACACCTTCAACATCTCATACTTTGAGTGGATCGCCAGCCTCCGCATCGATGAGTACTGGATCGATGCCTTGGGCGAGGTCCTCGGCGTCCTGGCCGACCTGCCCGCGGACGAGCGGGATAACATCACGCCTGCCGACTGGGAGAGGCTCTCAACCTGCCAAGCCGCCCCCAACGTCACAAGCGTGTTCTACGCGCCTGGGGAGCAGCAGGCGGGGCAAGCGCCGCGCACCGCGCGGGTCGACGGGTTCCTCGCGACGCTGGATGACAGCACCTACCGCCTCGTCCACGACCACATCGCGGAATCGCTTGTGCTCACGTTCCCCGACCTGAGGCGCGTCCTCCACTGCAGGAAGCTAGAGATCCAGACGGCCGTCCGCGTGCTCCATCACGTGATCCGCTGGATCAGCCCAGAGCAGGCCAAGGCCGTCGACGACATCAGGCCTAAGGTGAGGAACAAGCCCCTCCTCCGGGAGCACCTGTCGATGGCGCTAGACGAGCTCGCCTCAAGCAGGGGCTGGGCGCCCGGGGCCTTCCCTGCGATCGCGGCTGTCCAGCTGCAGAGACGCGTCCTGGACTACGTGCGGGACAACCTGGCCGAGTTCCGGGCGCCGGAGCTGCTCCCGCTCCTGGACGACGACGACGCGCCCGCCGAGGGGGAGGACAGCGACGAGGGCGGCGGCTCATACGGGCAGCGCTTCAACTACGTCGCGTGGGCACGCCTGCTGAAGCTGGTGCGGCAGACGACCGATAGGGAGGGCCATACACTGCGGCCATCGTGGCAGACGGAGCGCGCGACCAGGAGGTGCGAGCGCCAGGCCAAGGCCTCCACCCTCGTGCAGGGGTTCTGCGCCGGCCTGTTCAAGCTCGCCGGCCAGCAGGACGCCGCGGCGATGCGGCTCGCCCAGCAGAAGGCGGAGGAGCTCGTCAACGCCTATCTGTACCTTGCGTTCCCCAACAGCTCCCCAGCGGCGGCGCCGGACCGCCCCGACGACCCTAGCCAGCCGACGCAGGACGCGCCCGTCATCGCCAGGCAGTCCTCCCGCCAGCGCCAACGCAGCGGCGGCGGCGACGTCGACGACGAAGATGGCACTCAGCACGTAGCACGACCCAGCCGCCGCAGCAGCATCCCCCCTTCCTCCTCGCCGCCGCCGCCGCATCAACAGCGGCGCCCTCTGCCGTCGCCCCCAGCGCCAGCAACTACCGCCAGCCAGAAACCAGGGCCACGCTGGAAGCTAGGGCCTAGAGCCAGGAAACCGGCCAGCGCCGCGCGGCAGTAGGGGCGTTGGCACGTTCTGGGTTCCCCTGCATACCAGATAACGAATGCGAGAAAGTTAATTCCGCCAATGGAAAATGTCTCAGCAGATGCGTGCGCCCGCCGGGCAAATACAAATCAGGTTTCTCATTTCCCACAGCAAAGTGGGTCTCGCAAATATAGTTTGATAACCCATTCCTAAGCGACCATCAGCTTGCTTTTTCTTCTTGCTATCCCATGCCCTCCCGGGCACGCCAGGAGGGCATACGTACATGCATAGATGCTGCTGTGCATCTGCCTCCTACGCCTATAGTGGGCGAGGTCTATAGAGGGAATAGGGTATGATCAGCAGCAACCTGTCCACCACCTGCTGAATAAGTGGTCAGTAGGTGGTCTCCTCCCAGCGGAGGATGCACAGGTGGTTTCGTATAGCAAATAGAGGGCGTTTTGTAGGAAATCCCTCAGCCAACGTGTAGATTACACACAACTAAGACCGTGGATAGCAAGGCCTACACCACTATCACACTATAACCATACTAAGATGTCTACAGCTAACGAGGGAGATGTTGCTACTGAGATGCTGCTAGTGGATGGTGAAGCCTTCTCTGACGTTGGTGCTGCCTCCGACCCGGACGGCGACGAGTTCTTCGTCGACGACCAGCAAGAGGACGAAGGCAACGACGGGCGGACCAGCCACAGGTGGGCGGTGGACCACTCCTCAGGGCACCACAGGTTCCGAGGTATATATGTAGAAGGAATTCAACCAGGAGCGAGAAGAAAACGCTGACGCCTCTCACACCTATCCACAGCCAGACGCTTTATCGAAAAGGTCCTCCGAAGCGATTTCGAGCCAGCCGATGCTATCAAGATGCTGCAGGAGAAGCACACGATTGACTTCGGGTCCCGCGCTGGAGGCAGCGCGCCAGCGAAGGCCACGGACGCCTTCTTCCCGCAGTTCTTCCTTGACTTCTTCAGCATCGTCGGCAAGCCACGCAGCCCCATCACGAAAAGCGACGGGCCCGTCTTCGACAACATCGAGTTCTCTCTCGAGTCATACGCAGCGCCCTACAGCGCAAAGCATATCGGCGGCATCCCGTTCGATATCACCGGGCGCACGTTCAGGGTCGCTAAGGCTGGTACCCGAGAGGTCTGGTTCGTCGTCATGCACCCCGTGGCGCACGAGCCGACCTCCAGGGGCGGGGCCCCACGCGAGAGACCAACAGCCTTGGACAAGAGCGGGATGCCGGCCGGGTTAGCCCGCGAGCTGGCCGCATACATCGTGGGCGTCTTCCAGTCGCCGCAACTGCTTGGCGAGGGGGTTGAGGCCTGCTGGCGGTTGGGGACAAAGAGTACCCAGCGCATAAGCTCGGCTAAGTGGCAGGTCTTCCAGCAGCAGTTCATGGACGGTTGGGCCGCCTGGGCTAGCACCCACAATCCCAATTCATTCTGGCGACGCCACGAGCCGGCCTTTCACGCGTATGACTACGGCGCGAATATCGAGATCCAGGTCAGCGATACTATCTACGACCTGCCGCGCGAGAGACATATACCCTATGAGGAGGAGGAGGAGGAGGAGGAGGAGGAGGAGGAGGAGGAAGGGGTGGAGGACGCCGAGCAGGATGCCGAGGAGGAGGGCCTCAGAGATGGAAATTCTCGGCAGGAGGTCGAAGAGCTCTCTCTTAACGAGGGACAAAGTACACATAGCGATACAGTGGAAGGCCGGGAGTACCAGCAGATGCTCAGAGAGAGCAGGGACCTACAGAGCATGATCGTGGAGCTCAACGCCCGCTTTGATCTCAGCAGTATCAGTGCTATATCGTACGCCCTCGCAGTCTGTATTAACAGCGAGTCGGGCGGCTCACAGACGCGCTGCCTCCTCGCCGACCGGAACATGGTAGCGCGAGAGTACCCTAGGTATTATTCGCAGGCGATTCTAGTAAAATCGGCCATACAAATGGCGGAAGGTGGTCCGGGCGTTGGAGCAGAATCGGTTGGACTCGGGACGGAGCTGTAATTGGGTGGTGTTTAACCCCAAGTGGAGACTCTAG